CGAGGTAGTACATGCCCAACAACATGTCAAAAGGCAAATCGTCGCTCACCAGGAATGATATTCTATGATTTAATTCTCCTCCTGGGTAGGAGAAAGTGCAGACCACGTCCTTCACGTAGTCCTCCACCATCATGCGCTCCTTGTTGGCCAAAGTAGATGCTACCGGTCTACTAAGGCGCTGCACCTGGTCCTTCAGGCCCAGCCTCTCAACACAGTCGCGACTTATGAAGTTTCGCATAGAGCCGATGTCTACGAAGGCACCACACTTGCGGCCACCCACACCAACTTCCACAACGAAATGCTCCCCTCTAGGACCTCTACTTAGCGCCACCCGGGGCTCCCGAGAGGCCCTTGCCGACCACTCACCTTGAAGTTCCTCTAAGGCTTCAGACACTTCCAACGTACGAAGTATAGTTGGGACTGGATGTGTCTGCGGGGTGACTAAGGAGTCAACAGCTTTGGCCAACTCTTGAAACGGGGAGGGTACACCACCCGCTTCAACGAGAGCAGCTACAACTTCTATTGGCCCTAAGTGTTTCCTAAGCTGGAGCTCGTAGAGGCCCCAGACTGAGAAGAAGGATACCCACCCTTAGGAGGGATCTTCTGCAAAACCTTTGCGTTCTTGCACTTAAACTGCTGATGGTCATCCTCGTCGCAGTTTATGCAAGCCCCACGCTGCCAACGGTCCCGCCACACATCTTGATCCAAACCGGCCCTAATCCAAGCAGCTACTTTGTTTGGGTTGGCGGCTTGGCCCTGACTCCTCTGTTGGCCGCCCTTGCCGCGGCCACCTGCCTTAGTCTTAACTACTACAACGAGGTTGCTACCCTCAACACTATCCTCGTCGTCTAACTTTGAACCCTCCACAACGTCTGAGACATCATCGATCTCAGTTTGATTCTCATCGGAATCAACCATCATCAATCGACTACCCTTCTTCTTCCACTCTTGTGGAGTCTTCTTCTTTCTCCCGTCCGTAGGGGGGGTTTGAGCACTACCCAGCGTAGGGCCTTCTTGTTGAATGTCTCAAATGTGTGATACTCTAAACGAGCCTCGCTGGCTAACAAGTTCTTGATGTCTGTGGGAAGACATCTCAAGAGCATGGTCAGTAAGACCTGCGGGTTGTACTCCACGCCGGGGACGACAATTAAACGCTCTACAAGTATGGTGAGTTCGCGCACAGACTTGTACTTCCTAGCATCAAGTTTCAGTAACCCATTAGTGGCTATCCGCGCCTGCTTAAAGTTGTGCCACCGTGCCTCTACCAGGTCCATAAAGCTCTCTAGGGTGTGGGTCTGAGCCCAATCACCCATGTTTCTGCCGAATCCCTTTGAAGCCACCAATCCGTTCAACTAACGAGCTGTTGAACCCGCCAAGTAGGATGCAGCAGTTATCACCTCCTCCTCTACCAATGTCCTCTTTGCACTCACCCATTGGCACCGTTCTCAACCACGTGTTGAGCCTCATCCTTCTTGTCTCCTGAGAAGGTTGGAGGTGGTTTCAGGGGGGTCTTGGGGTACCAAGGTAATTGTTGTCCCGCTGGCGGGACAGATTACGATTGTGGTGTAGCTGCAGGGACCAGAAGATAAAGAAGCAACAGTGTGAGATGAGGCTGTTGCTAACGTACCGCTTGGTGTTGGTCCGGACTAAGCGGCGTAGGGGCCTCTAATCACTGAGAATGGCAGCGATGGCAAAGCTGCTGGCCGGATTCCTGGCCTGTGTATGGCATTCAGGATCTGGTCTAGGTTGTCTTGCATTGCATCCAGTTTGCTGTCCATGTCTGCGTGCAGGAACAGGATGCTCGCCTTGATGACCTTTGCTGTGTTGTCAAGGCCTGAGTCATCTAACGCCTCTAATGCAGCTTTGTCCGCCTCCCTACTCTCTAATCTGACACTTCTATTTCTAATTTCTTTTTCTCTTTCGATAGCTTTTCCAAGTTCCTCCGCTAGCTTTATGCGGATCCTCTCTATTTGCTGGAGCTCCATCTGCTCCCGGGTGCGTGGAGGGCGAGCTGGACTGCACACCGCCATCTGACTAGAGCCAGATCCCGACGTATTGGAGCCGAACTGCGAGAGGGACCATCCCCGCGGCATGCCGAGGGAGGTTGTAGCAGACGATGCTGCAGAGGTAACCATTGCTACCGCACTGGCTGCTGCTGCTGCCAAAGCTCTCTCCGCAGCTGCTGCTGCTGCCCTTGCAACCTCTAGATTGCGGGCCCTAGCTTCGACCCTTATTCTTCTTTCGCTCCTGGTAGTAAGACCTGGAACACTACGGGTATCCTACCGGTATCCCGTCGTGTCTGCCTCCTATCGTCAGCTGTACCTTCACCACCCTCTGATCCACTCATCGGCTAGGCAGACGTTGCCTGCACTACTGTCCTCTCTGGGACCTACAGCTGCATGCGTCTGACCGGTTCTAAAAATAACTAAAATAAAAATAATGTCCGGCGAGTAACCTAGACTACTGGTCAAGCGGCATCAACAGCACCTACACAGACTGTTCACATATAGTCTACTTCTATCTTGATTAGTCCTGCACAGGAGCTTTGAGAAGAATTGACTATGGTAGATTACAGTCCTACTCTAGGCTGTCTATTAGGTGTCAGCAGTCTGTCAACCAATTAATCAAAATAAAAATAAACTAATGTGAGCAGATGTATGCACAATGGGTATGATAGCGTGTTACAGTTGAGTCCTCAATTGGAATCCCCTTCCCCTGTGTCCAACGTACCTGTGAGCATCATCAAGCAGCGGTGTCTAAGGTGTGCAATATCGGCCCACCCCTGTGCCCAAGGCGTATGCTTCTGACCAGCCTGCCCGTTATTTACCCTCGCGTGCAACGATCCTTACGTCTGACTGATCTGGCTGATCAAGAGGCAATTTAAAAACAGCCCCCGAGAGTCCTCAAGAATTATTTACTGTCTCAATCAGGACGACGATCACAGCCAGTGAGCAGTTACCCCAACCAGAAATGTTTATAGACGGTCTGGGAGCGTCTGCTTAGGACTGGTCAGTCTGCACACCCCTTCTATCAGCGCAGCAAAGAGCCTCAAAGGACAAAGCAGCATGGCCTGCGTGTACTACCCCCAAGGGGTGGCATGGTGACCATGACCCGTGCACCGACCAGGTCCCTTCACAGGCACCGCCCTCTCCTGCCAGATGCGCCACCGGGAAGAATGTCGTCTTTCACACGACTCCTCACCAAAGAGAGGACACTCAAGGTTGGACTCACTTCCTCACGGTAAGAAGAGATTGAGAGGGTAGATAAGGAATGGGAACAACGTACCTGGAGATAGCTGCCCCCAACCACAAATTTCTCACCAATTGGGCCGATGTGCATTTCAATGACCGGTGAATGGCCTCGGTACCACCCACAACGCAATGCAGTGCCGCCTCAGCCAAAATGCCACGTCAGCATGCTCTCATCATCGTACATACATCCGCTGTCGCCACAGCCTTTCAGCAGCCGGCCCCTCTATCTGGGCCCCGCTTAATCAAGCCAGCGCCAAAGTATCCTCACTGCACATGAAGCATCGTCAGTGCACCAAGTAACAATGTCACCAGCGCCAGGTAAGCGGCGGTCACTAACCAGCTCTGATACCAAATTGCAAGGAATATGAGTGTGAACAATATACCAAAAACCAAATTGCGAAATCACACAGATGTCCAAGTAATCAACACAAGCATAGAGCACAATTGCACCGATAATCCATCCAAATAGAGCAATACAATGAAGCAATGAGCCAATGTTCAAGCCCTCAGGCCACACCAACACAGTATCCAAAGTCGCTCAATCTCTGTCTGGCGCCCAGCGCCTAGCCTACTCTACCCAGCGCCTAGCCTACTCTACCCAGCGCCTAGCCTACTCTACCCGACTATCCTACCTACAGTTGTGTTCATGCAACAGGATAACTTCGACTCTCGAAGAGCAGAGTACATGACGTCAACACCATCACCATAGTCGACCTCTCTTCATGCACCAGGTACGTATCTCGTCACCCTCATCACACCTTGGTAATCCACACTCGCCTCCTTCCCTGAAGACCACCAGATCGCCCGCATTACCCCCTAGCGCCCAGCAGCCCGGCTATGGCTGCCAGCGCACCACTGCCCTNCCACACTCGCCTCCTTCCCTGAAGACCACCAGATCGCCCGCATTACCCCCTAGCGCCCAGCAGCCCGGCTATGGCTGCCAGCGCACCACTGCCCTGCGGCGCCCCACTTCCCCTCTATGCGCCCCGCCAGCGCCCTTGGCCGCAGCCCAGCAGCGTGTCCGCATTGCCTACGCAGGCCAGAATGCCCGACCTGGGCTGCCTTACTTCCTATATGGAAGTGGCAGCCTCCTGGATGCTGCATGTGGCCTGGCTGGAAGCTTCCAGTAGCTTTTGGTTGGCCCTCAGTTCCTGCGCCCAGGCCCGAGACTACAGTTGAGGGCCTGGGCCCTTCACAGTTCGGCACGGTCTGTAGTCTCAGGACTTGGGCCAATTGCTGCATTTGTGCAGGCCCCCCCGGGGTAGGTGCGTCGATAATATCGCTTTTGCATAGGCCGACAGCCACTTCATGATGTATCGGCCCTGCTTTGTGTGTATGTGCTCAGGCGCAAATGCCAGGGCCTGGGCCAACTGTACGACGCAGATTAATGAGGCTCACCCGTCCACTCAACCAACTGGCGGGCTGCAACAACCTGAATACCCATGTATGAGAATTGTCGAATTTCGGCCTCTGATGAATATTCAGGCCCGCCTTCACTTAGGGCGGGCACTTGGCTTGCTGGGGGCCTATGCCCAGAACATGTGTTTCCTGATAAGGACCTTTGTGAGGGCTCGTTCCTCGCAGTATGACACCGTATGACGTCCAAGTGTGGCGTGCAAGTGGGAAAAGAAACTATGGCTCTCAGGAAAAAAAAAAAAAAAAAAAAAAAACTATGGGTGACAAGGGAGTGATGTCAAAGAGGGGGGGCGGAAGATGCAAATCAACACAGAAAAAAAAGAGTCCACCTACCTGTGGTTGCTGTACGGCTATACTGCCAGACCCAGAAGGCCCTGCAGGGACACCAATTGGTGCAGAGGGCAGTTCCACTTCTGGTTCAGGTGCCAGGTATGATGGAACAGAACTGCCCTCCACCTCCGCATCCATGTCGGCTTCCAACGCTTCTAATTCTGCATTTCCGCACATTTCCAAGATCATACCCCCCCCCCCCCCCCCCCCCCATCCCCACCCCAACCCATCAGTCGAGAGGCGGTTAACGGAGGCCTCATTTTCCAGGCAACTTGAAGGGTCATTTTAACCAAACTTGCCACCAATCCCCACCCCACCCCATCAGTCGAGAGGCGGTTAACGGAGGCCTCATTTTCCAGGCAACTTGAAGGGTCATTTTAACCAAACTTGCCACCAATTCGTAGAGTGAAGATCATATTAACTACTTACAACAACAAAAAAAACAACAACAAAGACACAACAAAACCCAAACAAAAAAAAAAAAAAAAAAAAAAAAAAAAACCCTATAAAACAGCAAGGCAAAAGTGCACTTTCATGAAATTTCGCCAACTTGCAATTTCAGAAATCTTGAGAAATTTCAGAAATGTCATCAGAGGAAATTCCAACAGCCCAAATGATACCAAATTTGGCAGACGGCAACCTTAAAGGCTTAAACCAAAACAAAAGCAGGCAAAAAAAAAAAAAAAGTTCAAAAAACATAAAATCTGACCCCCAAAGGGTCCAAAGACTCGAAACCCTAATTTCAGTTTCAGACCCGTTACTCAGGAGCTGATAGTAGGGGTCCCGGTTAACCACTTGTGAGACAGACGAGACCGGAGTTCGAATCCACATGGAACTAGACGAACGGAAAAAGAACTCACCTACCTTACATCCAAAACTACCAAGAAATGGAATGAATCGAAAGTGTGAGCGGATCCAAAATTGGATCCAAATAACATGCCCAAAACTGATCTAACACGTACATCGAAAACAATCATGAAATGGATCCCCCGAAATTGCAATCCGCGATATTATTCGGTTCACTGACATTGGGATTATAAAAAAAAAAAAAAAAAGAAAGGTTCATCGACGTTCTTGACTGGCCTTGAAAATCTAGTAGTATTGCACTTCTTAGCAGGATGCGGCGATCTCGAAAAGCACTTTCTGAAAATAAAGAAGTGCAATGCATGAAATGGAGACCCGAACTCAGACAAACCCATACCACAACCACCTTCACCCGGCCCGAATAGAACACCCGGTCATTGTTKCRSTKCAKMTGMASYGMAACAATGACCGGGTGTTCTATTCGGGCCGGGTGAAGGTGGTTGTGGTATGGGTTTGTCTGAGTTCGGGTCTCCATTTCATGCATTGCACTTCTTTATTTTCAGAAAGTGCTTTTCGAGATCGCCGCATCCTGCTAAGAAGTGCAATACTACTAGATTTTCAAGGCCAGTCAAGAACGTCGATGAACCTTTCTTTTTTTTTTTTTTTTTATAATCCCAATGTCAGTGAACCGAATAATATCGCGGATTGCAATTTCGGGGGATCCATTTCATGATTGTTTTCGATGTACGTGTTAGATCAGTTTTGGGCATGTTATTTGGATCCAATTTTGGATCCGCTCACACTTTCGATTCATTCCATTTCTTGGTAGTTTTGGATGTAAGGTAGGTGAGTTCTTTTTCCGTTCGTCTAGTTCCATGTGGATTCGAACTCCGGTCTCGTCTGTCTCACAAGTGGTTAACCGGGACCCCTACTATCAGCTCCTGAGTAACGGGTCTGAAACTGAAATTAGGGTTTCGAGTCTTTGGACCCTTTGGGGGTCAGATTTTATGTTTTTTGAACTTTTTTTTTTTTTTTGCCTGCTTTTGTTTTGGTTTAAGCCTTTAAGGTTGCCGTCTGCCAAATTTGGTATCATTTGGGCTGTTGGAATTTCCTCTGATGACATTTCTGAAATTTCTCAAGATTTCTGAAATTGCAAGTTGGCGAAATTTCATGAAAGTGCAACACCCGAACAGACGTTCTGCTGTGACACGACAAATGGAGACCCCAACTCAAACAAACCCATACCACAACCGTCTTCACCCGGCCCAAATAGAACACCTGGTCATCGTTGCTGCATCTGGACTGAAAGTTGCACCAGATACAGCTTCAATGACCGGACGCTCTATTTGGCTGAACACGACAGCAACAGTGACCAGATGAAGCAGCATTTGATGCCGCAGATGCCAACCAACATGTAGGGTGGGGTCTCTCTCTAGCTCAAGGCACCCAGTCAGCGATGCCCTCCCTTACCTCCCAAAAGCTCATCCTCGTCTATATCATCTGGAACAGAGTAGCTCCTCCCCAAAGCTTCCTGTACCTCTGTTGAGTAATCCATCAGGTCCATCATATCATCTTGCATTCTCTGTGAGCGAATAGGTATATGATTGCAGACCAGATGCAGAACAGAAAAAAGACATAAGAGTAAGGGAATGATAGCCATGGCGAAGAATCAAACCCACGTGGCAAAATGCCTGCTTGGAAGCTCCTGACAGCAGCTGTTTCAAAAAAACAATCTTCATATGGAAAAAGTGAGCAGGAGTACACAGAAACTGTTGCATACTAGTGAATACTTCACCAAGTATGGGCAGAACCAAAGATCAACCAATATAGGATGAGCATGTATACAGCGGAAGTCTGAGAAATGGACTGACTCACATAGACTGAACTCACCCAAACATCACTCAACACACAAGCAATCGTGAGATGGAAGGGGTCTGAAGACCATACATAGAGGATGCTTCAGGCCCCGTACAATCATACACAGATGAATGGTGGGAGGAGAGACGATGGAGGTGGGAGGTATAGGCAGCGTCAGATGTCACCGAGATAGAATCCAGAAGGTCACCGATATGGTAGTCCAAAATGTCACCGAACAAAATCAGAATGTGGACATAAGTCACCAATGTCGGAGGTACAGAATCCTAATGTAACCGGTGTCCGATCTGTGATACCACCTGGTATCAATCCCAACTATCTCCAATGTCTCGAATCCGGTAAGTATCACAGCCTCCTACCACCGAAGTCCAATCACTGATATCTGTCCAACTCGTATCAAAGTCTCCAGTCTGAAGAAGAAGAAGAAGAAGAAGAAGAAGAAGAAGAAGAAGAAGAAGAAGAAGAAGAAGAAGAAGTCTGAGGAAGAAGAAGAAGAGAGGGGCAGAGCATGGGCGGAGATGGCGAGTAGCGCCAGGCCCTACCTGATGGGACAAGGTGGCGCCTTGGCTGCTGCGGGAGACGGCTGTGCTGCTAGGAGCTATGGCGCTCGTGGCTGTTGTCAGGTAAGTCTCCCTCCTCGCTCTTCCTTACTGCAGTGCGCTAAACTTAGCGCTGCAGTTCCCAGCGCTGCGCTGAACCCAGATAGCGCAGCGCAGTCGCTCCTCAATGCCGCTGCTCTCAGATGCAGGAAAGGTCGCTGGACTGGCCTAAGTACCGTCCGGCGGCCAGTCGGCCTCAATGCTGCCCAGCGCGCCATGATCTGGATCGTCAAGATTGACGATTCAGATCAGACTAGCGAGTGGCAGCCTCAAGAGCGCCGCCAAGCCCAATGGTAATGTCGTTTGGGCCTAGACCTGGTGTGCTGCAGGAAAAAATCAACCGGTGGCCTCAATGCGGCCTACAGGGAGAAGGGTCCGGCCTTTGGCTGGGACGGCCTAAGTACCCGTTAGCCTAGCGGTCGGGTCCGAAAGGGACCCGTGTGACATCAGTATGTAACAGAAACTGTCAGAAAGGCAAAACCCATGGATTAACTTCACTACAAATTTCCAAACCCTTAAAACTTAAATAAAAAGTAACTGAAGGCAAGCCACTTATGTGAACATATACAGTGATTGGAAGTTGACAGTGACATATCTGAAATCCCATGAGACTCTCTCTCTCTCTCTCTCTCTCTCTCTCTCTCTCTCTCTCTCACACACACACACACACACACACACACACACACACACACACACACACAC